CATGCTCGCATCTTGTCACACTAGAGGTCAGGTCTCCCAAGCGTTCCTGGAGAGCTGAGCCAGTCCATATGGCAGACAATATGTTAACAATATGGATCTGCTGCTCGTCAGGGCCTGAGCAGATGGATGTGACAACCCTGCTCTTATCCCAGACAGGCTTTTAACATCCACTCTTTCCACCGCTTTGCCATACCGGAAGGGCTCTGTCCAAGTGCTGTTGGGTCCAGCCGGGCCAGGCCGTAGGGCTAGGTGTCAGAGCACCCACCCAAACACAACTTGGCCTGCTTTGTTCAGAAGGGGGCCAGGGCTCAGAACTGTCCAGAATAGCCCGCCCAGGAGCTAGGCTAAATCTTTGGTCCAATCAGAGCTTGCTTTAAAGGGCATGGTGAATCTGATTAGTCTGGTACCTAGTGTGATAATCAGGGCTGGTAGGCTGGGATCACACCACTTCATTCTGGGGATGAGGCACTACCCCCAGACAAACTATTTGGGGGGGGGGCATCTAAGATACAACCCAACTAGCTTTGTGAGGGCTCTACGGCCCCCAGCCTGACCTGTCCCCCTGTGCCCCACCATCACACACACACCAACATCTCTGCAGCAGAGAATCGGTGCAGCTTTCCGCAGGTTCTGCATTTCATGCACAACCCACGCTCTGGGTAATGGCAGCAGCACACAGCAAACCCAGGGGAAACAAAAATTAGTCAGTGGGTCTGAAGTCCCTAACCAGGGCAGGAGGCCAGACTGATGGACCCCAAGGAGACGCAGCAAGCAGGACAAAAGGGATTGCATGCCCAAACTGGCAGCATAGCATCACTTTAGATGGGCACAACTGGCAGCCAGAGTCGCTTCTCTCCGCCCCCCACAGCAATCCAGCAATGTCTTACTTATTCCTGCCAAGTGTGGATTGAAGGGGAACAAAACCTGGACATGTTGCTGGGAAAATGGATGCCTCCCACCCCCGATACACCTGCCACTGCCAACTGGACTGCCTCCCAAAGCTTTTTGTGCCCAATAAATTTCAGCTGAGTTTGAGGGTCTGCGCCCCTATTCCTATTTCCAAATGTTTATAGCTTACCAATATATAACTTACCAATAATAGTGCAGTCTAGCTGGGTACGTTATAGCATGTTACCAGTAAAGACTGTATGTCATAGCTTGTCACTGGTGGATCCTGGTTATTATAACACAGGTCAGTACATTACAGCAGATACCGGATAGCCCCAATAGGGAGGTTATAGCATGTTATTAATAGATACTGAATACTTGAGTCAATTGACATGTTATAGCGTTTACCTGGAGGCACTGTCCAGACTGGGAAAATTTCACTGATCCCAGGCAGGTAAGGCATATATATATTTCTAATGGGCAAATCAACCATCATTCAGTGTCCCGGCTGGCAAAGGCAGGCGAGTCGATTACATACCTGGGCTGGTAAATTTCCACAATGATTTTGCCAGACAGCTGTACATTCCCAGCCAGCTCAGAATCTGGGGCGGGTCCTGTGAGGAGCTGTAAAAGGTCCATTGTGGTGGGTCAGGGTCTGACCCTATCATGGGCAGAGCTCCCATTAGATTTCATTGGGAGGAGGGTGTTCAGTGGCCCCCATTGCCCCAGGAAAGGGAAGCTGTCAACTTGGCTTGAGCCCCAAATTTAGATGTCACTTGGGGCAGCGAGGGGGTTGTTGGTGTTTCCATTAGTTTTTTGTGACTTTATTTGAACATTCCTCCCCATTGCTGGAAACCTAAACTGCAGTCGTGTGGGCAGAACCCCCTCATGTGCTCTAGGGCTTGACAGCCTGAAACTGAGCATAAACAGAAAGTGAAACAGACCAGCTAGAGCCAGGGGCTGAGGGATGAGTGCCAGGGAGACAACAAGCAGCATCCGTAGTCCAAAGTATACTGCGCTTACTTTGAAAATGGGATGAATAAAACGTGCTCTGGGGCTGAAGCTTGGAACAATGGGGTTTCCAGTCCAGGGCGAGAGGGATCACAAGCCCACGTTTCTGAAAGGCTAACAAGCAGCCCCCTTCACTCTAGAGACTCTAATAATTCTGGGGGGAACAACAGAAAACTGCTATGGGTTGGCAAAGCCAGGGTGGATGCCCTTGGGGCCCGATCCAAAGGAAACCAGAGTCAATGGAAAGACTTGTATTGTCTTCATTGAGCTTTGAATCCAGCCCTTGGAAAACAGACCCAAAGGGCAATCAGTGCTGTGCAAAGTGTCCAGCAGGAGAAGACAAAGCTCAGAAGAGGCTGCTGATCTGAGAGAGAATCCTGACCAAGGGCCAAAGGACTCTCCTGCTACACCAGCCTCCTCTCGGAGTCAGTGCTCACCTCCAGCTGCAGAATTTGACCTGGAGCCTTGGAAGCTGTTTCCTCAGATGGGCTGTCCTGTGCTACTGGGTCTGGATTTTGGGAGAAGCGGAAGGTCTCTCTCTCTCCTACACACACCCGGCTTTTTATACAGTTTCTAGCCCCTTCCCTTCCTGCTCTGGGTCTGTGCCATCCCTGGGATGGTCTACATCCGGATGGAGCCCATGTGTGTTTACACTACCAGGTGCTCACATGTGTATCATCTTCACTCTTCTCCACCTATCCTAAAATATGATCCTCAGAGGCACCATACAGTCCTCTGCCAGACTGTGATGCCCTGTAGTTGTCATTATATGCCAGGGCCTTCCCATTCGCCATGCCCCTTAAGTCTACCTGCAGCTCCTGCAGAACAAGCTGTGCCTGTTAATATAGAGCCTAATCCTGGATAATTATTCCCCATTGTCCCATGTGATCATTTCCGATTGCCCTCTCCCCTCGGACTGGATGTGCCCGTTCACCAGTTACAGAGCAGAGACAACTGAGTAGCCTGCACTCAGCTCTCACCCAGGTGGGGGAACACACATGGCTGGGGGCTCACGGAGCTTGTGCATTTGTGGAGCCAGACGCCGGGATGAGTGGCTGGAGATTCAGCTGTCACAACCAAGTCCCAGTATTTGCATCTGATTTGGGAAGTCCACAAGACTCCCTTCTCCCAATGCCCCACTCCACATCTCTACTCCTTTGGCCCTGACAGCAGCAAAGCCTGGAAATCTCGCCAACAGGCTGGGGCCTTGAGCGGCAAGACCTGTTGCCTCTTGAACTCAAGGGGTTGCCATGGCTCCAACTGGGTGCACAGATGTCGGAGTGCTCGGAGCCTTCTCCCCAGGGATAAAGCCTGGAGCTCCCTCTAGCTAAGCCACTCAAAATCAGACACGCCACACACTGGGCAAGTTTTAGTGCCAGAACAGTGGGGAGGCACCGATGCAAGAAGAGAACACCGATGCCATCATCCTGACCCGCAGCATCCTTGTCCTTACAGGTCTAGCTCAGGTGCTCATCACCGGAGCAGCTGAGCACCTGACATTCAGAACCCCTGGGAGGCAGGGAGACATTGCTATTGCTATTTAAAAATAGTAACGCCAGTGAAACAGAGGCATGGAGAACATAAATAACTCTTCCTCCCCTCCCCCCACCCCCACGTTGCACAGGAAATCTGCACCAGAACTCGGGCTTGAATGCTGATCTCCCAAGGTCCAGGCTAGTGTCTCAATCTCAAGACCACTCCTCCTCATGCTGTGCCAGTCCGGTGCTGCCCTCTGGGCTCTTCTGCTGCACCCTCCCCTCCCCGACTTTTCTGTCCTACGGCCTCCTCTGACTCTCAGTGGCCCTGGATACTGGCAGAGCAGTATTTCATTGGGGGCCTACAGGGAACGTGACCTGGGGTCTCCAGAGTGTTGTGAGGATGCATACATCCACTGAGCCCCTCTAAGAATGAGCATCATTCAGATGTTTTTCGCTATTCTCGCCTCTCAAGGCTGCCATTAGGGTGGCAACAACTCAGGGAGGTAAGCTCTGGCAAAATCATCCTCACAGAGTAGCCACTACCCACACCTCCTCCAGTCAGCAGCTAACCCGATATGGCAGCCCTTCCATGCCCCTACCGAGTCCTGGCCATCAGAGAGACTAGTATTATCCCACTGCCAGTGGCAGATACTGCATATGTCCTCTCCTGGGTCACGCTGCACCAGTCCTGTTTTAGGGAAATGCTTGAAGGACACTACTGTTTGCACCACTTGGCACAGCCCAAGGTACCTCCGGTGCTATCCCATGGGCCCTCTGGCGGACCGCCAGGCCAATGGACCACCAACACCACATAAAACACTACTGTGTTTGCCCACAGCAGAACAGCTGAATCTGGCGCCAGCAATGAAGAGGTTAAAGTGGTTTTTAAACAGGCAGAGTCCCACCCTCACAGCCAACATGACCCCCAGCGTTTGCATTGGCGATACAGACCCTGGAGCTTCCCAGCACAGACCTTCCCAAGCTGGGGTCTCCGGTTACATCCAAGACTGCCTCATGTCCTGGCTGTTCAGGCAAAGGAACTGCTTCCAGCCCTGCCAGGCAGATCCCCCAGCCAAGAGCCAATGCTGGACACTCAGGAGAAAGACTTCAGAGTCTGACAGGTGAAAATCAGCAGCCGTTGATTTAAACCAGGTGTAAGAACCATGGAATCAAACATCATGACCTGCCCTCTTCTATCCCCCACTGAGAGAATCCATCGTCTGGAGCCCATTACCCAGGAGATACCCCACCCTATCAGCCACAGCCCTGGTAGCTAACACAGGAGCAGTTCAAAATGACCCATCCCTGTCTGAAGTGCCATCAAACCCTCCATCTTGTGCACAAATGGGCTGCATCATCAGGGACACATTGTACCCTCAGCACTGGGGATGCTGCAGTCCTGCCTGTAAACCACCCCAAAGCAAACCCCTGCCATGGTGAATCCATGACCCACAAACAGACTCCACCACTCCAGCTCCTCAACTTAAATACAGTCTCTCCACACCAAAAATGCACCCCAGGGGCTCTAGCAAAGCCCGCAGGGACTCAAAAGTCACCCAGAGCCCACCCAGATTCTGGTCGTAGCTCAAACCAAGAGGAATAGATTACAGAAGAAGCCAGTACCTTGCATCCACAAGTCACTGGGCTCGAAGTCCATTCCAACCTACACAGCCGGGATGGGAATCAGGAGCTTTTTTCCCGGAGGTCCTTGATGGACACAGCGTGAGTCTGATGAGTTCCCTTCACTTGGTGAAGTCTCTTTGCCCTGAGGAAGGGAAATGAACGGTTTATTATTTATCCAGCCGCTGCATAACACACGCCCAATCAGTGCCCTGACTGGGTACCAGTGGCGACCCGCAGAACTCAGCACTCGCTCAGCCACAACAAGCCAGCTGGGGGAGATGTAACAGACCTGGCCCGTCCTGGCACGGCACAGCCATCTTGTGAGACAGCCAATCAGAGGCCAAGTTACAGACCCTTACATGATCACCAGTTGGGTGCTGAGCCACAGATCTCATGCAGCCATGAGACAATCAGACCATCGCACTCTAGGGAAGAGCTGTGTAAAAATATATATGGAGATATACCTATGTCATAGAACTGGAAGGGACCCCGAAAGGTCATCGAGTCCAGCCCCCTGCCTTCACTAGCAGGACCAAGTACTGATTTTGCCCCAGATCTCTAAGTGGCCCCCTCAAGGATTGAACTAAAACCCTGGGTTTAGCAGGCCAATGCTCAAACCACTGAGCTATCCCTCCTCCCTACAAAGATACAGGCCCTACTACCATGCCACATGCTGAAAAGAGCTTCCCCTGTAACCTCCTCAGCAGTGTTTGCTGCCCCCGTAACACAGCAGTTCCACCCCCCGAAACATACAAGTCATTCACTATGACTTGTATTACAGAAGCATGGCTCTACTGTACAAGGTGCTATACATCCACACAGTGACAGAGAGCCCCCAGCCCCGCAGAGCCTGCAATCTAGCCAGAAAAGAAAATACAGTAGAACCTCAGAGTTGCAAATGCCTTGGGAACGGAGGTTGTTCATAACTCTGAACAAAATATCATGGCTGTTCTTTCAAAAGTTTACTGATGAACACTGACTTACTACAACTTTAAAACTTTACTATGCAGAAGAAAAATGCTCCTTTTAACCAGCTTAATTTAAATGAAAGCACAGAAACAGTTTCCTTACCTTGTCAAATCTTTTTTTAAACTCCCCCCCCCTTTTTTTTAAGTAGTTATGTTAACACAGCACTGTATTTCCTTTTTTTCTTTTTTGTTCTCTGCTGCTGCCAGATTGTGTACTTCTGGTTCCAAATGAGGTGTGTGCTTGACCGGTCAGTTCATAACTAGTGTTCGTAACTCTGAAGTTCTACTGTATCATTATTTGCAGTTCACGGGGGGGGAGGGGGAAGAACCGAGGCACACAAAGATTAAACGACCTGCCCAAGGTCACAGAATGACTCTGTGGCAGAGCCTGGAACAGACAACAGATCTCTCAAGTCCCAGACCACGGTCTTCAACACTAGGCCACCCTTTTCTCAACTCTAACTTCTCTTGGATCTATTACTCTACCTCTGCTACATTTCTTGCCCTCCTCCCCTCACATGCCAGGACCATAACCACGTAAGCCAATCACAATCCATATTCTTCTTTAGAGGGAATACAAAATTTGAACAAACTTTTACGTTCTTTACCAAAACAAATTGAAACAAAAGAAAGTTCCTGCCACAATATTTGATTGGAGCATCAGGCTGATCTGGGAGGTGGGATTTCTAGGCTAGGGTTTTTTTTTATTTCCATCAGATAAAAATAAAATCAGCAAAACAAAAGGGGGGTTGTTGAGATCAATTCGTGATAGGTGCCGGGCCAAAGAAAATGGAGCCAAAGAAGTCAGAACCCTGCAACCAGCAACCTTTGTGTCAATTTAAGCAAATATTGTGGCGTTTCCATGGCAATCCCTGTTTTGAATATCCACTACACTCATTTTTTAAAAGGGCTTTTCCTGTTTGCGTTTCAACTTCCAAACCTGTAAATATTTTCAGCCTTAGCACATACCAACCCCGCCACCCCTGAAACCAGAGATGCTCACAGCTGGGACACAGAGTCCCCTCTTTGTGATGACCCAAAGTGGTGAAAATTCCCACCCAAGTGCTGGGTTAAAGCAACGTTTGGTGCCTGGCTCCCGACCCACCGATGCTGGCAGTTTCAGCACTGGGGCCAGACCTCTGTCTTGCTCTCTGCGTGACGCAGCAGCAGGTACAGGAGCCTGTTTATTTTCTTTGACAAAAATTGATGAGTGAAACCAGTCGTCACGCACATACGGTGCTGAAAGCGCTGGGCTGAGCCAAGCAGAATGCCAGCAAGCATCCTCCATCCAGTACAGCTCACACCGGACCTGCAGCCTCCTCCACTAACCCTACTGCACAGAACTCTGTCTCCAAAGAGCCCCACCACTGCACCCCAGTTGTGACCTGCAGCACTCCTGCTATTCCAGGGCCTAGTCTGAGCAGAAGCTGTCAATCACACAGAATCGTGCCACACAGTAGCGTGCACAAGGGGAACTAAGAAGAGACCAACTTCACCCTCTCTTGTGTAAGGATTTGAACTCACATCTACCAAAAAAAAAAAAAAAAAAAGCTGAGTGCAGGTTTGCACATAGCCAAGACCTAACTCTGGGCTCCTTGTCTCCAGGAGAGCACGCAGCCTGTCACTCCCTAACAAAGGGTCCCCTGGACAAGCGCGGTATCACTTGTCAGATCTAAGCACAAGGACCCTGCCCACGATGCACAGAGTACCAGACACATCTGGGAAGGAATGCCCCACTCAGCAGGACTGCAGGTGCCCAATGCTGCATGAAAATGCCCACTGCAACTCTGCCACAGATACCCAGTCCAGCCTGGGGACGCTCATTCAAAGACACCCAAGTCCTGACGCTCCACTCCTGCTCTGAGATTCCAGCCCCTCCCAGAGCCACGGCAGTGAGCTGGTTAATTACAAGCTTCCTGGCTGCAATGGAGTCGTGCCAGGCCCCGAGTGTTAGTTTAGTGTAATTTTTGGGAAGTCAATTTCCTCTGAGGTTTTTTTTCCTTTTTGTTTTATTTTTTAAAGGGTATTTTTTAAATGGAAACATTAGCACGTTCCGATGAGCGTGAGGACAGGGGCCTTTCGTCCGCCAGGCTGCAGCGGCGCCAGCACCCTTTCTAGGCACCGTACTACGTGCCCACGAGAACCCCGGGGAAAAATAAAAGGTGACGTCAAACCTACAACGCCACCCACTAAAGGGAGCGGCCACTTAGCTGCACCGGTGTCACTCCACGGTCCTGACAGCTCGTTCAAGATCCTAGGGCACTTCAGATAGGAGCAGATGGGGGATGAGCCCCAGTGTCCTGGCCAGACTCCAACTCAGGTAACCCTAAAGCGCCGCAACTGGATATTTTATCCCTTCTTCATTCCCTGTCATGAACAGCTGTGCAGGGCAACTGTTAAACAGCTGCCAAGTCACATCTCAGAAGTGGCTGCATTTCAGAGGTGGCAGAAGTGAAGTCTATAGTCCAGAGTGCTTTGGGATCCCTGCTACCTCGATGCCACAGTGATGGTGACCGGCCCTTTATCAACATTTAGCAGGAAAAGGAATAAAGGGCCTGTAGGATTGTGATTTATTGTCACTGGGTCCCGCGAGCAGTGCTGGGCAGGGAGAATGCAATGGGCTGCCCTGTGGGGAGCCCGGCTTGCAGCAACGGAAGTGTCTGCTTTGCGCTGCCAAGCAGGGAAGCCAGCTGATTGATGGGCCTGGCTCAGCAGGCACTCAGAGTAGAAGCAAGGCAGGAGGCCTGGTCCCGGAGGCAGGGACAGGGCATGGGGTGAATGGGAAATCAGCACCTCTCCTCTGATCAGATACAGAACAGGACTGAGTGGGCCCAAAAGGTGAGCCCCCACCAAGTAGCTCCGCTCAGCCAGAGAACTGGCAGCCCGGATGGAAGCGCTGCGGACATACTGTGAGGCTAAGGAGGGTGACCCACTCCATCCAATGCCAGCCAGGCACCGAGTCCAACACATGAGCACCCCTGGTGGCCACTGTACAGTTGCCCTCCAGATCAGACTTAGGCTTCCAAGCAGGGAAAGCTTCCAGTCCTCATGGAGCTTCCCAGCTAGGCGAGAGGGGAGCCACGGAGACCAGAGCCAACACAGGATCTGTGATATGGGATCATCCCATCTCCACCTGCTGGAAAGAGGTTCAGCTCAACACCAGGCAGGATGGTCTTGTGATTAAGAAGTTGGCCTAGGGCTCAGGACACCTGTGCTCTCTGTGACTGTGGGCAAGTCACTTCACCTCCCTGGGCCGCCCCATGCCATGGCGCTGACCATAAATCACCTCCCCGCAGGTTGTGAGGCTAAATGACTGTTTGTAAAGCCCGTCAGGCCCCTGGTTGAAAGGGGCCATGGAAGTGAAGGGCATCCTCTCTCTGACCATTGGCAATAGTCTTTCCTTCTATGATTCCATAGCTGTGGATGGGTTAACCCCTTCTGTTGGGGTGAAGCTAAAAATGCTGCTACAGGCCTGCCCCAGTTAGGGGCTGCCTAGGGTACTGGCGTCCCATACAGCACAGACAACGGAGTAGATCAGCAAGGCTTAAAGCACACAGACGAATGCGCTAGACACAGGGATCAGAGAACACCTGATGCGACACATGACCAGGCCACACTGAAAAGTGAGTGGGCAAGGCTTGTCCGCGTCATCCTTTGGTCCACCTCTGAATAAAGCCCATCCGGACGACCCCGCCAGGAGCTGCCAGTGTGTCTACGGGCACAGGGAGAGGTACCAGGCAGTGGAAGCTGCTCGTGAGTAACATGACACTGCTTGGAGGGGAGCATGGTGCTAGAGGCTGACCACGGAGTCATACATGCTCCACTTGCCCCACAGCACCAGGAATGTAGAGTCCCCTTGAAGGAGCTCTGGGGAAGCACTAGCCTCTCAACCCTCTCAGAAGACAATCGTGAGACCACAGAAGACCCCCTGAAGTTTCCAGAAGGCTTTACAAATGGGTTTCTGTCTGGCCTCTGTACTTCTCCCTCCTTATCTCCCCCTTTTTAAAGATCTGGGGCCAGATCCTCAGCTGGTGTAAATCAGTGCAGCTCCCCTGACTTCACAGAAGCCGGGCCAATTCGCGCCCACTGAGGATCTAGCCCTCCAAGTTACTGGAGCTGCCAGTTCTTCCCTTTGATAATTCCAAGGGTGACTTTCCACCAAACAGCAGTGCAG